ATTTTGCGGGCGCGCTCGCCTCAGGTCGTTCAAGCAGATTTTGAGTGATAAATACACAACTAATGATAAATTTGAAACCAAAGTCAGTAAATTGTAATGAGCGCAACCTAACCAGGGGTAGCAGTAGTGGAATTTCGATCGAAAGACATGGAGTAACAATGAAAAAGCGAAATTTATCAGAACTAGCTGCAATGGACCTCAAAAGCAATTTTACGTTGATTATTCCAATCAAAACACACATATTGTCATCCCTAAGGTTCCTTATCTACTTCTACTACTATTTAAATCTTCACATTAATAAAAAGAAAAAGTAAACGAAAAATTTATTGAAATGAAGATTTCGTATGGTTCAGAAATCCTCCTCTAAATTAAAGTATACGTGACCATTCTAAGGGCCACTATGTTTGTAGCTACGTCAAGGTCTCTTCCATGGAATGAATACAAAGAAACTTCAAAAGAATCAGGCGTGCGCGAAAAAAATGAGTGTAATGGGTGCGGGGGATATATATCCCGCACGGTCCGACATGGCCTGCAATGCGCGGGATATATATCCCCGCGTTGTCGTCAATGTGTTAATAAGTGCTAGACATGAATCCGTTGCGCCAGAAAGCGTCTGCGCCGCCGCCGCAGACAGCGTCTGCATTGCGGCGTCAGCCTTGGAGCGCGGCAGGTATCACCCGGGCGCTGGAAGAACGGGACGCGGCGAAGAAAAAATTTTAGAGGGGAATAACTTTCTTGGGACGTATTTTTTGACTTGTTGAGGTAGATTTTGATTGTGCCTGAGGTGCGCTTTTCAGAAAGTACTTCTGTTAGGAGTGGAAAACCCAAAATTTTAAGAAGGCGCACATTCAACTTTGAAGGCCCATAAAATCTTTCGTATGCGACATTTTGGAAATCTGTAAAAAGTTTCAGAAACTTCAAATATTTCTCTAACAAAAACAGTATAAAAAGTTTGATTGTCCCCCTTTTTCAAAAATTGTCCCGTTCGAACATTTTTCGTGCAAAAGCGAGTTTTTGGGCTTTCAGCGACCATAACTCACTTCATTTTCATTTCTGTGATGCACTTTTTTCATGGGGTGAAAGTACAGGATTTGCTCTTTCTAAAGCCCCAAACCGTTTTTCAAAGTTCATTTTTCGAGAAAATCACACGTTCGAACATTTTGGGGGGTTTTGCCGAACACTTTTTTTGAAATCGCGAGTTTTTGGGCTTTAAGCGGGCATAACTCACTTCATTTTCATTTCTGTGATGCACTTTTTTCATGGGGTGAAAGTACAGGATTTGCTCTTTCTGACAAGCACCAAACCGTTTTTCAAAATCCATTTTCCGAGAAAATCACACGTTCGAACATTTTGTTCCCATAGGTTTTTGAGCAGCACATGCGAGTTTTTGAGCTTTCAGCAATAATAACTTCCTTCAAAGAACTTGTTGGGGAGGGGCGAAGACATTTTTGAAGACTACGAGATTTCTGCTTTCTTATGTGTTTTACCGTTGTCTGGAAGAATCGTCCTCAGAAAATTAGGTCCCGAAGAACTTTAATTTCAGCCCCGAGAAGTCAAACCTTTCATAGGGATGCATTCAACTGTTCTTTATTCCTCAAGGAAAACACCGTAATTTGCCTAAAACTGTCTCTCTGTGCATAATTAATCGAATCTAATGCGGTCTGCACAAACAATTCTTGCCCTCGGATACGCCACGCACGCGCCTGTGGCTGGCAGTCCTCGAAATTGCGACCCCCTTCCGACCAAAATGCGACCCCTTCGTTCGAACAGTTCGAACGGACGGTTGACCCTGCTTCAAAGTCCATCTGCTTTCCTATCGAATGATGCTGTTGTACCCCCTTAGCAAGCCCATATCATCGCAGACGCTGTTTCCATTACCTTCAGCTGAACAGGAGCAGTCTACATAACCGACCTGACATCCCCGTTCTGACCCTGTTCAGTCGCGTCCAGCCGCAGGCCCATCCCAGCATCCTCATCTCAAGGGCAATGTAAAGCTAAGTTTGCTGGTCGGATTCAGGAAGCCAGCACTCGCAGCCTCATAGCGTCGCAGGAATCACCACCCGGTACACCTTCCCTCGTTTTGATCGTTCTGGAGCGCCTTCGATCGTGGAGGATTCGAGCGAACTCTCCAATTTATCCATGCCGATCTTTGCATTTGCTGCCTGATCCACGTTACCATCCGCAGCTAGGTCGCTCCGAAGGAATCGTAAATCCGTAGTCCACTCTTTAGCATGGTGTCTCATGAGCCGCCCGAAGGTTTGTGCCTCTCCAGCACTCACGAACTTGATCATTTCGCCGGAACCTTCTGTCAGCACCCCGATTCCTGCCTGCTTCCTGATTGTTCGTTTGCTCTCTCTCTCTCTCTCGTCTGCTCTCTCTCTTACCAGGGCTATATCTTCGGCATAGAGAATGGCTTTCAGGGTCCTTCCATTAGTCCCTTTACCAGGACAAGTGTTAGGAAGAAGAAGACGGGCTATAGTAGCTGATCTTGGTGTACACAACCGTGATATCTACTTCTTTAGTTTAGGCTATGTGGATGAGTATTGCGCCTAACCATAATGACCCGTTATACATGTCCTTCAGGTGATCAGGTGTTCCAGTGAATTCTTTGTTGACCATTGAAGGCTTTCACTCTCCCATGGAACTTTGGAAGAGACCTGGGCAAATCGACGGAGCCTGGACCGCTGGTTACAAAGTTCAAACCCACTACTTAAACCTGTCAGAGAAGTTGCGAGCGATCAAAACTTGGGTCCAAAGTTCGATTCCTCGCGATGACAATTTTTTTGCACTTTATGTGGGTCTTCAAAATTGGTGCCAGATAGCGTCAGTGAAGGAAAAGTGTTATATCAATCGGGACAACGGTATTTCCTGCAGGAGGCTTTTATCAGATACCAGTACTACAAGTGGCTTTCTAAAGCACACTTACTCCATAATTGCATGGCAGGTTAACCATAGCAGATCTGATTTCTATTTGTAACATCCCCTATGACACTATCGATTATGTAGTTCTCAATTGTAGGTTACGAGACTTGGAAATCTTCGCCTAGGTAGCGCTCTGGCAGAGCATGAGTCGAACGTAGACGATTCCGAGCGTCGCGTCCTTGCTATCACGGGCGGACTTTCGATACTCCTCCATCACTGCTTATGGCATCTGTTGGTGAACCTTTCAGGCATGAATCTGAACTGTTTTTGGGATAGCGGGACCAGCTCGAGTACTTCAAGTCAAGCAGTCGCTTATACAACGGGTTAAACACGGCACCCCGTGTTCTCTAATTGTAAGCGCCTTCCACGCCTATATTGGTGCTTATCTAAACGACTAGCTTCAATCTTATCTTCAAAATTTAGTCGCTACGTACGGACGCGCCACGAATGCTTTACAATACCTAAAAAAATTTTGACGGCACTAATTTTAGAGCAGCCACATTGCGGCGTAGTGCCATCGGGAATGCGATGTCACTTCATTCAAAGGGGATGCGCGGCCCTGTGCGCAATAACTAGGGCACAAGGCTGACCTAGGAGTGGGAAGAGAACTGTAGGCTTTTAAAAACTGAAAAGCTACATGCACCACTCGATTCTCGTTGGGTTGACACCCGAAGTGGATCGGATAGGAAGAAACTTGGTTCTGTTTTGTTCACCAAACTCCAACATCGTCTCAAAACCGCTTCCAGAAAATTCCGCAGATCGAGCGACCACCCCCTAAAGTTATGCGTGTATTTTCAATACATCGATGTTAACAACTCTTCTACTAGCACCTCATTTATATGACTACAGCTGGGCAAAATGCTCTCTATTTTGATGAGCTACTCCATGAGGAGCATTACATATAACGAAGACAATGAAATACCAGTAAGATGTTATAAAAATATCTAGAATACAAGCGAATTGTGCGTCACGTTTTTGACGACTCTAGCAAGTCCTTCGCTCGTTGATTTTCGACGGCGCAATGCGCTATGGCGAACAACCTAAAACAAAAAAAGAATATTCAATAAATCCTTCACGCTTCCACCTGTCCCACCGACATTCAAAGAAGGAATCGATTTTGGGCGGATGGACTTATTTGGGCTCCCAGACAATACCTAACCATTTGGGCGCGGCCGCGGCGAACGCGGCCGAGTCGATTGTGCCCGCGAACCGTTGAAAACGCACTCGAGGTGCCCGCGAACTGTGCTGTGCTGAGTTCGCGGGCACCTATCAACTCGGCCGCGTTCGCCGCGGCCGCGCCCAAATGGTTAGGTATTGTCTGGGAGCCGACTATTTGAAAAGATAAACTGATCGAGAGGAAAGCATACAAGTAGAGAATGCATCCGTTTCCAATTTGTGTATCCGAATTGCGTAGTTGTTGTCATTAGATATTTTTTATAAACTTCACTATGTCACTTCATATGACCAAAACATACCTCGATCGGGATGATTGACGATCATAATTCGTTTGTGGGCTTCCTTAATTCGATTTGGTTTAGCTGTGGCTGGTAGTCCGAGAATCATTGCTGCTTCTCTTCGCGTGTCATTTTAGGTTCAAAACCGCTCGGTGATATTTTTCAAACTGCAAACATATTCAGTTTCACACAAAGAGTCAGTGAACTATGTACATGGAAAAGAAATTTCAAGACAAAATTCAAACTGAACCAAACACTCAAGCCTGTGAAATATCAAGTTCGAGACTATGAGTGACCTAAGGCTGGTGTCAGAGTCCATCCATCCTCCTGCCGCCATTTCTGTTTGACAGCGATGGTTGAATGAGTACTGATCATAATTCTACCCTTCCTTTCAAAAAACGAGAAGAACTTTGGGTGCAGACCGTACACACAAGTGACACAAAGTAAAGCTGTTAGTAGTGGTTCATAGTCATAGTGATTTTTGAGGAGCAAGGGGTAGATTGTAATTGTGAAGCTTGACAGGAATACAACTGTAGAGGCTAATCACCTTCATTGCCAGAAAAATTCATATTGGAGAGCCACTGTCGCTATGTGTCGTGGTGTAACGATCGGCACCAACCTTTCTGGTCTTTTTTGAAAGGAGCATATTCGCTTCATACTCAGTGTTTCAAATGTTGAATGGGGTACTTGCGATTTTTACGATTCGCGGCGACGGATCGCGGACTCTGACACCAGCCTATGAAGTTTGACGGGCGCACAGCACGAAACATGGCGCTGATTTCGCTCCTTTCGAAATTGCAAACTCACAGTAACTCGGGTGTAGTGTATTCTGCGAGTACTCTATAGATGTAGTGTATTAGGGGGGGCCAATAAAAAAAAGACATTTTGTCTCCACTTCCAGATGGATTTAAGCACATTTTGCTCAATTCAGACCGAATGGTTCCAACTTATTATTAAAGAGCGCATTCCATTCTATAAGAAAATCTTCATAGTGGCCACCTACGTGGACGGCATCAGAAGAATTTGCCCTGGAAACATGGTGCACTGGTCGATCTCAATGGGGTCTTCGAAGGATCGTGTACCATAACGACCCTTACTGGAAAGCTAGTTCCGAGGGGATTTGCACAGTGGTAGCTAATGCCTCTAGAAAACTATCCAACATTAAATCGATTCACGAAATTGCGTAAGAGCTTCAGGCTGAAGCTCTTACGGTAGACCTCCTTGAGCCTGACGACGGTGACAGATGACGTCATATTCTGAAGACGGTGAGGGCAGTGAAGGAGAGCCTGCGTACACTTATAGAGGAACACTTAGGGAATACTCTGCTGAGGAACTCCCGTCAACGACAGCAATCTCTGCGAAGAAAAAAGAGCCGAAGTCCGACATAGGCAAAATGTCTTTTTTTTTTTTTTGCCCCCCTGTATGTTTAGTGACTTCGGTGCGATTCTGGAATCCGCAAGTGTAGCGCGGTGCGCAGAACACACTACGCCCGAGCTGGAGATTTTAGCAGTAACAGGTGTGACGCTGCGCAGCGACTTTGGGATACACACCCAATTTTTAGGAATGCAGAAGCAATTGGGTGCTAACTTAGTTGGGGGGACCACGCGGCGGCGCGGCGCTTTGCTCGCCTGGCATCTTTGCGTACTTCGGGAAATCCGTGAGCCAGGGGGACTGTAGGCAGTCTAGGGGGGTGGGGGTGAGGGCAGTCACTTGACATGCGTGAAAAGCTGGAATGTTCGAGTTCACACTATCTCGCTCGAGAGAGCGCCAGGCGAGCAAAGCGCCGCGCCGCCGCGTGGTCCCCCAACTAAGTTAGCACCGACAATTGTCGATGAAGTGACGGGAGACCACCATTCATCATTTAAGGTCTATTCAAAGGACCGAGTACAAGTAACAAGTAGCCTATATACCGGGAGCTGGGGGGAGAGAAGCTTGTTTTTGAATACGACAGGCGCCTAATGTACATAACGACACTAATGTCCCTACGTACATCGAAGCATGTCGTTACTCCCAACTAGTTTTGCATGTTAAGAATTACAGAAGTGAGCGAGCCATTCATACACTTTCAAAATGCCGACATGACAGAGTAAGAAAAGCTCAATAAACACTCACCACTCCACCTGGGAGAGCTTCGAGACCTTTCTTGATTAATGCTTGATTCCTCACTAAATAACGTGCACCAAAGCCTACAGCAGCCAAACCAACGCCGGCTAGTATCAGTCCACTACTCTGAACAGCGATTTTAGGACAGAACACAAGGGAGAAAAACTAATGCCAACAAACGCCTAGAGCACAAACTCACCATAACTTTGGCTACACCTCCCTCTGCACACTAGAAAAAGGAAGTCGTCCACGGAAGCACAAACTGAACGCGAAGAGGACCAGTTGAAAGAACTTGCACGATTTCTTCAACAGCGGAAAAATTGCATCACCTGTCCGAGAGTGCAGACTTTCGTAGTTACCGTAATGCTGTAGCCATCCGCTTGCGACGGAATAGTACGAGTTGTCGCATTCAGTCGGACGGATTATTAGTGGTGGCGGCAAATGCTTTATTTCAAAAAGGCCGTGGTGATTTTTCGTGGTTTTGTGGTCAAAAAGTGTTTCGTTATCGTAGACTTAGGGTTTTTGCACCCTAAAGAGACAACAAGTTCTGCATTGGTCGCTGAGAGTTTCTAATTGGTAGGGAATCAAAGTTCTTTGTATCTTACTTGTTTTCAAACTTAGCCTTTCCTCAAGAAGGCGAGAGGGTTTTGGAAGGATGAAGTTCCCCAAAAAATCGCACGCTAAGCGTCGCTTTGCCATTTTTGTTTTTCTTGTTCATTTCCATGCGTCTTTATTGTTTTCACACATTTCATATAACTCTTCTAGGATTAATCCATTATTTTCCTTTAACTACGCAAAAATAAGAACAGTAAAAGATTTGGGTATCATCCAGTAACGTGTGGCACGGCATTTCATATCGCCTAGAGAAATCCATTTTTTAACAGGAACGGAAGGAAATCTCCGCGGTGGGTCTAAAAGCAAAAGCAATATTTGGGTCATGCACACGGGTCCTTTCTCCAGAAGTGTCGTCCGTGTAGGGAAACAAGACACAACATGCCATCTCCGCCTTCGTGAATGAGATCCAAAGATTTCGTTGAAGAAAGGTTTCTTTTCATTTTCCGTTCTCACTTATGCAAGCTGACCTTTCCAGGTTTATGAAGGCGTCGATCGACAAGCGGATCGTTTACAATAATTGTATACACTATTTGGATATCTACATCAACGACTTGATAGTCGTTCAAGAGGAGGTGCTCAGAATTTCGGATTCTTTCTTTGTTTTCTTTCTATTCTTTTTCGTTGACACTAAACCTATTCACTTCATTTTAGGTCTTCAATGTGCTCAAGGAGGAATTCAAACCCGAAAATGTTTGTGAGCCGACATCATCCCCAAAGTACTTGACAGTGATGTCAAAATTCTGCTCTAGTTCGGCTAGCAGAGGCGATATGTACAAGAACGTCATAGTTGGTTCATTTTTCAAACTTGGATTGATTTTTTAGAGATTCACCCCTACACTTCGAAATTAGATACTTGTAAGTGGAAGGTGCTGATCCTTGGGGTGGTCATGCTTCCGGCTCTTACTTGGAACCGCAGAGGCATTTGAAAGCGTACTCATGCTCTCGGGAGCGTCAAGAGATTTGTCCGCTGAGAGAAGCACACAACACTACTAAAGCACCTTGGGCTGTTAATAGTAATATACCAGCCTGACATTTAGTTTCCCCCTCTCTCCTAACCTCTATCCACTGCTTTTTAGAGTCTGGAAAACGGTGGATAGCGGTCAGGAGAGAACATGAAGGTAAATGAAGGCGAGAAGGGGGTCTCCAAGTCATCTCGTTACCGAATTATGAGCTCTTCTACGAAATTCGCCTATTGGCGAGCAATGCTCCGCCCAGGAGAAGGGCTCGTCCTTCATGTAGTAGAGGCTCTAACACTTGGCTTCTCTGCAATTGGTAGTTTGCCTGCTCTGCGAGGCGTGTGCAAATTGAGTTGGTGAAGATTTTTCATAGAGCACTGCTTTTTAGAGACGCGCGCGCTATCGAGGTGGGGTTCCTAATTGCTTTACGCGATGCTGAGCTACTCCTGGTCTCTGAGCTGTTTTGGAATCTGATTTGAAATCTCGGTCGTCAGTACCGCTCACTTCGATGGACGCCACGCTCATTGTAGGCGGGGTTTCGCTAGGTTGATGTGTGATTTGTACTTCGCGAGATATTGCTCACTCATCCACTTGCCGTCTCTCAAAGGAGTCCCAGGAGTTAAGGTTTATGCGTGACGACATTAAGACGATGACGGGAGACTTTGACGTTAGTAGGATTACTGGCTGTGGCTGGTTGTGTCCACGGAAGGTGGCGAGAGCAAGTTCTCTTAAACAACATGCTACTCGTTCTACTACTGAGCTACGATACAATCTCCTCGCTGAGTTCCAACTAACATTACATATGCCTTTTCCGCACAACGAGCTAGTGAGTTGTTGATAAGTTAAGCCTCATTCTTTTTTTTTCTGTAGGCCGATGTCAGACTTTGCGAATCGCGCGATTCGCTAGCGTCTGCGGTCGCGTCGCGGCCAGTGAATCACTCAATTGGCTGGTACCGCAACGCGACCGCGGACGCTAGCGAATCGCGCGAATCGCTAGTAGCGAATCGCGCGATTCGCAAAGTCTGACATCGGCCATAATGATACTTACAAAGTGTAGTTAGAGGCTTAGTGTAGAGCACAGCAGTAGAAATTTTGGGGCGTTAGAATATTCTAACAACTAGCATATTTGTATCGACTTTGGTCCAACATTAGTCCTAAGCTCCTCATGAGCGAAGAATTGGGAAGCGATTTTTGATGTTTCTCCTTTATTTTGTTTCCTCCTTATTTTTTCTACTTATTGCGGAGAGAAGGGAATAATGTGTTCAGAAGTGCTATACGATTTGGAAAGATAATTGAACCCTGGTCAGGATAACAGTAGAAGAATTTTATGCTGAGCTACCTCGACGTGACTGGATTGTTTCTTTCGGCGGCGATTAAGATATTTTTACCGGGGGAACTTATTACATCATTTACATGAGTGATTTGTGCGATTTATCGATTATGTGTTGCGTTTGCGCTCTTTGGATCGTTTTTGTTGCTATCTAGGTTGAGAGGATTTATCTTATTATGGTTTCAGTATTATAAAGCACTGCTTTGTTTGCGGCACACAATTCACCTTGAACCAAAAAGTCTTGTGCCACGAATTTTGGCTCTGCGGTGGTCAGCGTATGTCGTCGTAGGTGTTGTGATTTGGTAATCTTTTTAACATCGGGTTATCGTTTTAATGAGCGTGGGAGAGGAAGGAGAAAACTCTAAACTCTTGCCGATAAGATTTCTTAGGCATTATTTGTGACAAGAAGCAGTTATGAAAGTTGTGGCTCTGCTTACTGTTAGCTACCGATCACGTCACCCAGCTTTCAGTTTCCTATGCTTTCCGAAAAATTAGAGGGATAAAAGGACTTTAGAGTTCAGCCAAACGACAGTATTCATTAACTGTTTGTTTTACGAAGGAGCGTTGAGTTGTTCCGTGATTTTGCAGGTGAGTGGGAGATGGTGGAGATGGCGTTGGCGTTCGAGAAGATGAAACACCAAGAGGCATTGGTTGATGATGCTTTATCAATGACCCAATTCTGTTAATACAGGATGCGAAAATTTTCATTGAGGGTTCAACAGAGATCAAATCAAGGTATGGTTTTGATGAAACTCATTCTCTGTCCCTATTGTATCAAATGTTGTACTTTTATCATCTATACGAAGACAATGTGCATAGGGGAGGTCAGCTTCTTCCGCGAAAAGCATACTAGAGATGACTAATCAGCTCAATTGTGATACTCGTACGACATTTCACACTTTCGAGTCTCAGGCATTTGCTAACTGGATATGTTCTCACTTACCGAAGGTTGCAGTTTCCGAGTCGAAAATCTCGAGGTAAGCGGTTCAAGCTACTATGGGCCCTCAAGTGCAATCTCAAAGGTTCTTAGTTTCTCGACTCGTACAACTGCCTTCACCGTGCCATGTCAAAGTCTGAGAGTGTAATGAAGAATAGACTGCCTGGAATTCAAGGAATTCGCGCCTCTTGAATTCAGGAATGCCAGCTCCGACACACTCGATTTTGGTAAGTTCTTAATTTTTAGTGGTGCCATGTTTCGGCCATTATCTTAGAACTTATCATAGGCTTCATGCCCGCTAGTATTAAAATAATGGTTGGCTGATTGATGAATGAATGCCGATCATGGTGAGCAGGTAGAAACAGCGAGGGGGTCAGATCTGTGATCTTGGGACGGGATAGGGATGAAGCATGGATTTTGTGAATTGGAGTGGTCGATTTCTGAATGACGGTAACGACACCACTAGCCTGTGTAGGTGGAGAGTGTACATATGAAGACTTGGGCAGAAGGCCAGGGTCGGATCTTGCTCTTTTGACTTTGTCTTTTGACCGTAACCTTGTCCGTAATCACTTCACTTTGAGCCTATCCTGAGACAGCTGTTGCTAGGGCAATAAAAGGGTTTTGTAGCTTTGTTTCATCCTCATCCCTCCTTTTCAAAATGTCTCTTGAAATTCCTTATCCAAGCCAACCGGCTCACCACGTAACACCTGTGAAAGCTATGGTGAATAAATAAACTACGCTAGGTGGTCCGGCAGCACGTTAACTTGTATGCACACTTTGCACGCGGTTAGGAGTAGGTGCGAGTTCCAGTCCGCTTGGAGCGAAAGTTTTTTTTTCATAACCTAGTATTCTATATGATAAGTACCTATCAGGACGGTTGGAGGATGCTCTGAAAGATCCAGTTAGACTTGCTTATAACTTTTTCAATTAGTCGTAGTCAAGGAACTTAATACCTTTCTTATCTCTTTCCTGACGGAATGCCGGCTCTTCGTATTCTCCATTTTGGACATTTCGCCACCATCTTCGACCTATGTTTGACAGTGTGAACACCGCCTTACTATTACAGACACTAAATATTACAATATCATTTTTTGCCATTTGTTTTGTTTGTTAGGCCTTCTCGAGAGAGAGTGCAAAGAAATAATTTTAGGTGAGGCTTGTGCATGCCTTTGCGACAGTTGCCAATCCTAAGATGAGACTTCTATTAGCGGAGTGGGTTGCAATTCGGTGGGTATGATTCGAGATGCAGCGGCTAACTCTCAGCTTGGTCTATGGTGTGCGCTGAAGTGTGGGCGTGCTTTTAGGTTTGATAATTTCCTTCTTCTTCTTATCGATTTTACAATATAATTACGAAAATAGTTTTTCCTATGGGAGGTTCCTTGATTGAAAGAGCGCTGCTTTTAGGATACAGCAGTTTGTAAACATCAATACTCTGATTCGTTCGTGTGTGGTTCAGCCAGATTTCAAAAATGACCTCCGAAATTGTTTGGATATGATGAGAATGATTTACTCGGTGAGTTTTTTTTTTGTTGCAGTTCTCTTGCATTCTTGCTTCTATTTTGAAGATTAATTTTTTGCTCTTGATGCAGAGTGAATCCTCGCTGGCTAAGGATTTCTTTGGCTGCCCCAAGAAGAAGTTATCCGAAGTGTGCTTTGCTGATGATCTAACAACTGGGAAACCATCGTCGCTGTTGGTTTTAATGTGGAATTTTTCATGTATTTCTGATTGGAATACACTTGTTTAGACCTCGCACATCAACTCCGAGTCGATCTCCAGCTCGTGTGGGGCAAAAAACACTAGCTGCGTCCCTCATGGAGTCGTTTGAAGAGCTTCGTTTAGAGTGAGTGTACATAAAGCTCAAGTTTTTTGAAGTCTGCTTTCACTGTACTATATCTAAATTTCGTTATGCACTGTAACTGGAAGAAAGTAGGGGACTCAAAAATGGTTACGGTTTATAATACCTAATGCCGAAAAAAAAACTAGAAAGGAACTGTTACGTAGCTGAGGGCAAAAGCGCCAACTGTTCCTCCTGGTCTCTTTCTCTAATTTCCTACCTCTATGTGTCAGTCTGTCTATCCATCACAAAATCAAGTATCACTGCTGGGAAGGGTGTGCACTGGTCTACGATGTGCACATAGGTTAGGCAGAGCCCTGCCGTGGCGAATGCGACATTCACTGAAAAGGAGGTTCTGAAGGGGGGCTTTTCCGATTCTCTTCCAGAGCAGCCTAAAATTAGTTTGATGATAAGAAGGCAAATCCATCGGCGGTGCGTTCTGCGACCATGGGCGATGTTTCAAAAGGAAATGCAGAAATCAAGAAGCAGCCAGTGTGGTGAGACAAGGTAGGAGTCAAGAGGAGTCTATGGGGTGTGAAGCGCGAGGTTGGAGAAGCCAACCCACAGTGGGTGGAGCATGTGCTTAGAAGGGTCAGCCTTGATAAGAATGTCTATCAATCCTTGCAATTCGGCTCCGAGACAGCTCAGGAACCGGTTAAAATATGGATTGAAGCTGGCGAAGCGTGTTGCTGAACAGAGAGTGGAACGAGCGTCGGGCTGGTCGCAGCAAAAATCAGAATATCAATGGTAAGGCTCAGAGGGCACTTGAAGCGGTAGGAAAAGTTGTTCTAGACGGCATGGGAATGTATTAGATGTGAGGTGCTTCCATTCACGAAGTGGGCGTAATCAGACTTGGAATTTCATTTTCGCTTTCAATCGTGGCGAAAGAGTGGTTGGACCTGCGCATACTGTGGGGCAGCAATGGCTAGGTTTATTACAAGGCTGCATCTCTTGCATTTATTTAATCTTTTCTCAGTGCTAGGTAGGGAAACGACTCGATTTAATTGCTATTACGCACCACACTACAATTAGCTTATGTTGATTCTCGATTATTGAAGCTGTTACACTTATTTGAAACTTTCAGATCTGGTAAAACTCCACCACGAGGTCGATCTCCTGGCCGAATTACTTCCAAACTGATTGACTCATTTCACGAACTAACCCTGACCGAGTGAGAACACTACATTTTCATAGTTGTGACTATATATGGACGGCTCTGTTTCACATTTCTAGGACGACCTGCTCTTTGCACGAGATTTCTGACGGCTGTGATTGTAATTTTTGTGAATTATGTAGAACTAATTTCAACGCAGCTCTTGAGTACTGGTTCTCGTCATTTCTATATGAGTCGATGTCGGAGGTAGGTCAACTAAATAATGGTTTTATGCTTTCAACTCGTGAGCATCATCTGTAAACAGGTCTACAAATACAAAATTTGGGGCGAACGTGGTGTAGCAAAAAGTGGCGCGCCTACCACGCGAGCGGTCCGGGGATCAAATCCTGGGTCGTGAGTCGCCCGGGCCAACCAAGCCTTCCATCCCTCCGGGGTCGGTTAATTGGTACCAGACTTGTCTGGGAGGATAAAAACACTGACTTGTACATCGGCTGGCCCCCGCAAGTCATTGTATAGGCCACATCGCATTCAAACGCCACTGCGAATGTACAAATGGAAGTAGAATGCGTGCCGCATCCCAAAAAGGGATTGATCAACGGCTGGATGCTTTGTTCGACACTTACCTAGCACATCGCACCTCTCTGGTTGCGCCGGTGTCCCAAGCGCTCTGTCAAATACGGGTAGAGGTATTGCTTCGAAAGACTTCCTGAGGAAAAGAACGGTCGACGGACTACTTGAACTCAGCCCTTTAAACCGCCTCTGCGCTCTCTCGCGGGTCCCTCTCCTCTCCAAGGCTTAGTCCTAGGGCATTCACCCGTTCTCTAATCGTCTGTGCTCTAGCCATCGCGGCAGGACCATTGAGGAAAAATCAAGTAGTCCGTAAACCAGGTTACAGATTAGGTAAAGCAGAGAAAAGAACCAGGGACGTTTTTTTTCTCTGCTTTACCTGATGTATTTGTTGAGCTGAAGCGTTACGAGGTCCAGTTCTTGAACTTCAAACGAAAGCTCCAGTAAGAGACGATGTTTTGATGTAGGGGATAAAAATGGGTACGTGATTACGACCCCGTCCTTGCTGTTACTTTTGGTATGGCGTTGTTTTGGGCTCCCCCACTTTCTTCACGATTTGGGGCGCGGCCGCGGCGAGCGCGGACGAGTCGATAGTGCCCGCGAACTGTGGTGGTGATGCGTTTTCAAATTTACCCACACAGTTCGCGGGCACTATCGACTCGGCCGCGCTCGCCGCGGCCGCGCCCCAAATCGTGAAGAAAGTGGGGGAGCCGGGGTTGCTTTCGGCGCTTGCAATCAGGCCGGCTCGCCATTGACGAACTCACGCAAGGATCTATCGATACGACTTTATCTTGCACTTTGGCAGTGATCTGCCTGGCTAGCGACAAATATTTGTGGTGGTGGAGCAGGAGTAACCTTTCTTCTATCTTTCTTCTCTGCTCTCTGAACGGACGACAGCCGCATGATGTCCTCTCTCTGCCAATTTCTCTGTCCTCTTTCTTGCTTATAATTCATGTAATTTGTGCGGATCTTCCTTCCACCCACTATCTCTGGGCACGGCAGCAGACTCGTCGTCGCAGTCGTGTATGACAGAGGTCAAAACTGCACCTTTGCTGTAAAGCGTAAACAAAGCGTAAAGAGTGCAAAGCGTTTACGCTTGGCTATCTTTTTGGGATTTTTGTCGCTATATTTGTTCATTTCTTTAGTCGAGCTTTTAGTAAGATTCATCAGTATTCCTGTGTTCGCTATACTTCACTTTTAGCAATCGATTCAATGCTTCGAGGAACAATTTCATGCGTTGCGTGCACTTGTTGCCCAAGAGCAGTGCGCTGTATTAGGGAAGAAAGTGAAACCGGTAGGTCTATTTCTATAACCTCTTGGGATTGGGAGCAGGGTGAATAACGGTCGAGGAAATCCTCGACCATAGCTCTCTACCATGCGAGAGTAGTGCCGAGAGTGAACATCCGCGCGGAGAGCACAGACGGCACGGCATGGCGAGTGTGAATGTCCGCGCGAGAGATCGTCTCTGATCGGGCAGAGAATCCTCGACGTGCCGTTGAGGAATCCTCAAGCGATATATTCACCCTGCTGGGAGTCTTGCTTAAGGCAGCGTTTTTATACAGTTTCTTGTCTACGCAGAATGGGTTTAAACCGAACTTGCCGAATTTGTGCTCATTAACTGAACAAGCTCTTGAAAAAGACATAAGTAAACCAATGCAGGGCACTCACACCTGCACGGTTGTTAAGAAGATGGTGGTGGTGTTTCAGATCAGTTTACGCGCCGTCTAACTTCCATCACGAGGTAGAACGAAATCTGCGTTTCAACCAGGGGACTCTTGATTTTTCCTTTGTAATTTATGGGATAGTTATGGGAGGTGGCTTAATGCCAGGTGGTGCCACTTCCCAGGGTCAAATCTCGTATCGAAAATCTCCAAAGGCCAAGCAATGCCTTCCATCCTCTCCAGGGTCGGTTAATTGGTACCAGACTTGTCTGGGAGGAATAAAAACACTGACTTGAACATCGGCTGGCCCCCGCAAGTCATTGTATAGGCCACATCGCATTCAAATGCCACTCACGATTTTGAATAAAAATGAATGCATGGCGCATCCCAAATGGGATCGATCAATGCCAGAAGTTTTATCATTCAAGTTCTGGGAGGAATATATTAGCCTGGGCACACTTCTTGTTTGCAACATTACATATTTTTCACCTCGATTTTGTGTTTTCTTATTTTTTCATTTCTAAAGGATAGCGCTACTGGTATGGTAGTTTTTGGGATATGTGCGCCGGTAGACCATTTTTCCCATTTTGAATGTGCTTTTTGTTACGTAATGGAATGTAGAGATTTTTGAATGTTCCCTCCTTTCCAGCGCCCACCGTCAATAATGTGCGAAACATTCGCAATGTGCGTATTGCGATGGTTGCGCCGTTTGGAAGACACCGGTTGGGATAGCGAGAATTTTAAGCTGAAAAACTTGAGAGATTCAATAGTGAAGTCCTACCTTGAAGGTAAGTTATTCTTAACGGGCGGGCTCTGCTAATATGGAATTTTGGTGGTAATAATTCACTTCTTATTCTCCAGATTTGTGGTTATTCGTCCATACGAACAGTCTGTTATCGCTTATCAATTTCACAACTGGAACGCATCCAGAAACTATCGCGATCCTATCGTTACGAATGGATGAAGGATACTACAAAGTCGAGTAGATTTCTGGTAAGCACAGTTGTTTATTTATTCATGCATAGTTCAACACTCTTTTAATATGAGAGATTAGTCCCTGGTTGTTGACCAGCGGACCAATAATGAATCGGGCACAGATTAGCTTCATTTTTCTGCTCTATTTTC